AATAGTGTACTTTTACTCCAATACATTCATTTAGAACCTTTGTTACTTTGCAGATTTGGATTAATGATGTGAAATATGATCAAGTCTTAAATCAGACTTTAGTTCCACCTGGAGTAAATTCACAAGCTACCCTGCAGTATAAAAAGTCATTCAAACTAGCTGCACCTTTACCAGCTTTGAGAACACTTTAATGATCAATCATTATAAAACATATCATATATATTATTCTGGAATGGACCTGCTTCATGAGTACTTTAACTTTTGGTACTTTACGTTTATTTGATGCCAATACCTTTGTACTTTTACTTGAGTAACATTTTGATTGCAGGACTTTTACTTGTAACAGAGTATTCCTACACTCTGGTACTTCTATTTTTACTTAAGTACAACATCTTGGTACTTTTTCACCTCTGGAAATACATCACCATAAGTCAGTCAACATACTCTGTCTCGATGCACGTCCTTCTAAGTGTTGCTGGTTGGAATACGGGGGTCCGGAAGTTTCTAAACATGGGCCTGAGGGTTAGGGTTATGAAGTCATGAAGTATTTTTGTTTAAGCAGGAGAAAACCACACTAATGTTATTCTATTCTATAATAAAAGCTTCCAGCAAAATCAATGTTATCCTGTACAGGCCTTTTGCAATCCAAGAAATATTTTTTGCCAGTTATCTTACGATACAGACATAAAGTGAGGCATCAGCTCATGAGTGAATCTGAGCGAGAGAAAGAGAGATCACAACAAACAACGCCTCACAACGCCAAACATGCAATTGGCCCAGCAAGTCGAGCGCGAGCCTCAAGTAAACAAGCAATCTTTCACATCCATCCCTGCCTCACTGTCTCTCACACATACAAACACAAACATAAACACACAGTGTGTTATGATCTTCCCCAGTCAGACTGCCTCCTCTTTCTCTCTCTCTCACACACACACACACACACACACACACACACACACTTCCCCACAATAAACAAAAACAGCTGTGAATGGGGAACTACTGGGACCAATTAGGCAGTAAACAGTGGGGCTGGAACTGGTTTACCGCCAGCTAATGACATCCACTAACCTCCAATAATCCTCTATTGGCTGCTTCGTAAAAGCGGCCCACCTACACACTTCCCCTACTTCTCTTTCCGTCAATTTCTCCTTACGCTCTCAAGACCTTTCCCACTCATTTCTGCTCCTTCCTGTGTCCTTCTCTAGACACTCTTTGCCCCCTTCTGTTCAAAAGGTGAGCAGGAATGCTGTGTTTCTCTCGCTAGTGGAAGTAAAGAGCTGATATTAAGACAAACAGCGTGCCCCTCTGGAGTCAACTGATAAAACCTAGCAGCAAACACACACTCCACCTCTGACACGAGTAATGGTGTGTGTGGGCAGAGAAATATGGTTGAGAATGGCGTAATGTGCAGCCAATGGCTTGCTGGATGATGTGTGAGAGCGTGTGTGGGGACTCAGTATATCACCCTGACTAATGTATGCAGGCGCTGCTCTCTACAGCAGACAAGACAGAGAGCGGGGAAATATGGGGTTAGGCATCGTAAACACACCAACATGCTATGAATCGTACGCTCAGATTTATGCCTGCAAGACGAGAACAACTGTATCCACCCACCGTCAACGCGCAACTGCAATACTACTGTACAAGTATGCATCACATCGCAGTATACAAATTAGAGGAACTCAAATTCAAGATTTGTAACTCAATTGGTTAATGGGTGCTGTATATTGTGTATTATTACTTTGTGAATAAATCACTGAATGTACATGCTTTGTATTACTTGCTTTTGTGGGAAAATCAATGAAGATATTTACAAAAAATGTCTGCTTAAGGCATACAAATTAGGGATGCACCGAATATTCCGCCACCGAAAATTATCGGCCGAAAATGGTTAAAAAGGCCCTTTCGGCTTTCGGCCGAAAGGGTTTTAGCACCGAAAAAATATCACCGAATGTCAGAACATGCTTACGTTGGTAACCTAACGTGTTGTTGTGATGACGTAATAAAGACGCGGCGACCATGCTCGCGGCTGGCTCACAGGGGGGGGGGGAACATTGACCTTTGTCATCGAGATTGCCCTGAGCCTTTAACAAATCGTATTAAATAATCTGATGACAGACTGTAAACAGAATAGCTGAAATTTTAACAAACTAAATAACTCAGTTACCTCTAATCATTAACCCATGTTTGTATAATGTAGTTAACTCCGTGTGTTGCTGCTAGCATACATAACACCTGACGTGGAAACGTTACTCGTGGTGGAGCTACAGAGCTGCTAGAAAGACGGTCGAACCCGGTACATTCCTCCGTCTGCATGCGGTGCACTTTTGCTAAATGTTTAGACAAATTGCTCGTGCTTACATGCTAAAGTCTTATTGCACTTATGGTAACAAGTATTCTCCACATCGAGACGGGTAAAGTTTAACCACACCTCGGAGCGCGTTCTCTCCGCCATCTCCGCAGTGTGCTCCGCTGCATGTAGCAGCTGCGTGTGTGTAAACTGCCCCGCCCCCTCGCACACAGACGGGGGAGAGAGATCTCGTCTGATCGAAAATACATCATAGACGCATTTGTTGTCTTTGCATATTAGAAACGAGTTGGCGACACTAAGACTGCGATATCATGTTTTTTAGCAATAATACATGACATATATAAATGTACTGTATGCATTCAAAAGTGCTGAATAAATGTTTTATGGACCCATAATAGTGATTATTATTTAAGTTAAGTTTTGCCATAATCATGTCTATTTCCATAATCAGGTAGCTGAACAACATTGGTAAAAAATGTATACATTATATATATATATATATATTTCTATTAATCATTTTCGGCCTTTCGGCATTCGGTTTTCGGCCAACTGTTTCCTATTTTCGGTATCGGTTTCGGCCAAGAATTTCCCATTCGGTGCACCCCTAATAAAAATGAACACTGCCCCCTTAGAGCGAGTCATGCTGTAGTCTTTGTGTGTTGCTGTTTCTGCGAGCAATAGTGGGAAAGACAGCAGAGGCCTGATAAACTCACCGTGTTAATTACATAGAAACTGATAACTAGATAAAACCAGTCATTTCCCGTTTGTTGACAAACGAGGCTCCAAGTCACACGTGTGATACAGAGTGAGATACAGGGGAAGCAGAGCAGGGTAATTCGATGATTTGAAAGTGAGGTGTTGATGAGAACACCACAGCGAGTAACATCTGTCTCCCTTTGAACTTTCTTTGAGTGCAAAACTGACTTAAACTTAGTCTTGCCTCCTAGACATACTGTACAAAGCATTAGGGTTTAAAAAACAATTAAATACCGCAAGAAAACACTACAACACAGAGAGACTGTTTCTATGTTTCATGAACAAAGAGCACACTTTAACACACTGAGGTCAGCATCCATGCACATTTTGTTCTCTATCAGCAGCTTCCTCCCTGTCCGTGTCCACGCCACCTGCACAGCAGCCCACTCAGCTCGACGTGGAAAATGACCTGACGTGTTCACTTGCTGACAAACCTCCTCATTTGAGGGGCAAGGGACACCATTTATCACAGCAAACAATTAGTCTCTAACAACTCTCCGAGGGAAACGATTTGGCTAATGGTGACAGAGGAAAATGTGCTTATTATGCAGAGTAAATAACGCTCCAGTAACCTGAGGGGTCCATTACTGTGTGCACCACCAGCAGGGGCAGGAATATGGAAAAATATATCTACACTTCCTGTGTGCCTCATGCTCACCTGACCCTGTCGTGTTCGGTTCAAATCTGACCAATTTACTACTTTCATCAATCAAAAACATAGTGTTTTACATGTGACTGCCTTAAGGCCTTATGATATCCTCCACAGTAAGCATTTGAACATATAACATTGCTGATCACCAGTTTTATTGAATTTTGAGTGGTTAAATCAACTATGTAACACCAACAGAATAAAATGACCTCCATAGGAAATGAATTGGTAACCCTAGATTATGTTCTTCCATCAGATAGTACACAGCCAAATCGACAAATGTTCATTTTGGAGTACATACTGAATTTGGAGGACCAGTATACATGAGACCTTGTATACAACTTAAAAGGGCGTTAAATAAAATGTGGTGACAATTAATAGTTTTTGTGTTAATGTAAGAGCAGTTCAAACCGAACCCCATACTAAGGGCGGGATAGATGAACATGACAGGAGGGTTAAAATGACTGAGCCATGACATCATCAACATGCTGCGAGCAGAGATGGACAGGAAAAGAGTGAGGGAGGAGGAGAAGGTCATTTGCTGATGAGGGATGACAGCAGTGGCAGTGGCAGGCTGCCCCCCCCCCGGCTGTCAGAGAGAGATCAGCAGGAACTGTGAAGGATGGCCTCTGTTGGACAGGAGCCATAAAGAGAGGCAGGCTGGTTCAAATGCCCCGGGAAATACCAGTGATGAACTCAACTTTAATTCAGCTGATCAGACCTCTCTTGTTCATGAACAGTTACAGCACACAGGGAAAGTGTTTTGGCATTTATCAAACAAGTCAGGGCTTCTACACTTCCAACTAATCATATGGCTTCTCTGAGCTAAAGGAATCCAGAGTGTTAATGATGCTCCTCTCAGTGCAGTGAACTCAGAGATATCAGAGGTCAGGGCTAGAGGCATTTAGAGCTGATACAGAAACGTCTGACCCGAAACCACCCTAATAAAGGGATTACAGCAACACTGGCAGCAGCATGACACCCTATTAAATAACTGTAATCAAAAAAGCCGCAATATAGCTTAATAATAATATCCTGCGAACACAAAGTCAGAGGAACTAATTTGTTTATACACTTCTCAGACTAATTAATTTTAAAAAAGGCCTGTAGACAAAAGAAAACACTTTTCTAACCAATTTAACGATGTAATGTGTGGTATTATGGGCATGTGTTGGACTAAAGAAAGACAACTAACTGATCAAATATAGGATGAATAACCATTTTCTCACGTCAGCATTAAAGATGGGGGTTTTTGAGAGGATGAGGATGCTGTTGGGGGTTTACCTGTTGGTTGACGCGGCACTGCGAGGGTCCGTGGTGGATGAGGATGCGGACGATGTCCACATCCCCCCGCCAGGCAGCCAGGTGCAGCGGGAAGCATCCTTTACTGTCAGAGAGGTTTGCGGCTGCCTCAAACTGCAGCAGCTTCAGCACCACCTCCCTGAGAGAGGCAGGACAACATATCAGCACAGTGGGAGACACATGGAATAGTGTCCCCTTTTCCTTTGAAAACAGCTAATCAAACATATTTAACACCTTTTTAAACATGACATAAATTAACTAGGACGAGCAACACAGAAGGAACATTAGTTCGCACTGACTACTTTAGAGCAGATTTCTGTATAATAATTAGTCAGTATGGAGGTGTCAGGTTTTGCTGATGGTAGATTGTTGTGTTGACTTTTGATGATGTTTTTGGTTTCATGTTACTGTAAGCAGCTGAGACTCACAGACCATCTATTGTTTGGTAATCTCCTCCTTTCTGCCATGGGCTACAAAAAGAAATGCTTAAAGTGTACATGTTTTCTTTGATAATAATTGCCATGAGTAAAATAATAAATATATATATTGAAATTGGTTGTGTTTCCTCTTATATTCAGTGCTAATCTCTACAGATATTCATTTTCTCCTGGTAAAAACAGTTCACACTGTTTTACAATGTGTTTTTTATACATAAAATGTTTGCTTAGCTAGGCCTAACATTAAAAATAAGAATTTTGGTAAATGCTCCATAATTTATCATCAATATCCTCTATACTTCACATATTTCAATCCGAGCTTCATTGTTTATTTGAAGTGTAACACCTTTAACAAGTACAATGATGAGGAGGGTGATCTATTTTTCATCAACACTGGATACAAGTCTGGATGGATTAAAAGCAGAGAACACATTTCATTATTATGAAAACATAATTTTGCACTTTACAAATACATGCAAAAGACAAAATCAAGTGAGTTGGCTGTATTTGATCAAATAAAAGATGGAATGATGTATGTGAACATTTGCACTCAAGGCTGAAGCACAGAGTATGAGTGTTTTAGTTTGTGCTAGACAATTTTAGCTGCCCTTGTTAATACCAGTGTCCCCTTTTTACTTGTTATTTTGACTGAATAGCTAGATCTGCATTCTTAGTACATGTGATGCTGTCAATAACAGTTGGCACTTATTTAAAGCAGCTAGTCTGAACCAGGCTCAGGTCATGAAGGGATTCACAATGTTAGGAATGAATTCAGACTATAGCAGCCTATAGAGGAAGCAGTGGAGGCACAGTTCCACTGGAAATGATTATCAATAATTTAGAGAAGACAAACACATGTTCCCCTCTAATAAAGTAATCAGAGCTATTACACAAATACATTGAGCGGTAGTGCCTGGGTTTTGCTAGAATTAATACTGTTTGGTATCAGGAAGTGTAGAAATGTCAGGGGGGGGGGAGTAAAGGGCAGAGGCTCTCCTAGGAGCCGGCGTGAGAACAGCCCCTGATACTTAATGAACTGCTTTCTTAATTATTAATTTATCGTATATTTATAGTATTCACTCCGGTTTAAGTGGCAGTTGTAGAGCAAAATCCCACTGGGGGGATCTCAGGGTCGAATAAGAGAATACTCAACTTCTTGGCGATTGGATTAAGCTTGCTTACTTCACAAAAAGGCTTTTAAAAAACTCAACATGATCTAAAAACAACAGCCTGAATAACACATCTCTGAATGCACTGCTGCACCAGGTTTCTTCGGTCTATATCTTAATTGCTAGTTCTCTCTGCTTTCCCAACTAAACGTTAAATCATTCCTCTTGGAGCTTTGTGTTGGCGGCCTCATTTCCACTGTGAGGCTGCAGTCTTCTCTCCCTCCCCACTCTCCTCCCCGGTTGATCCCAAGGAGGAAATCCACATAATTGCCCCCAAAACACAGCACTAATCCTTCAGTTCCGCAGAGCTGGGAGAGTGGTCAGGGCTGCAGATAATCCACACTGTGGAACGGATTTCACAGCAGCCAGGTGAGGAGAGGAGGCTGCACTAAAGCTCTTTGCAGATGCATTGTGTATGCTATTTTGGCATATAATATACATATATTATTATTACTAGTGGCTTCTACTTCTTAAGTATGGTCCCTGGTAGACCCCTACACATATAACAACAAAGACTACTATAACACCCCTTGTTATGCAATACTAATTATGTTCAATATATGCAATATATATATATATATATATATATATATATATATATATATATGCCATTCATAGCTGCCATATCACTCAGAACTGTTACAGTTTGTTTGTATTATCTTTAATATGTTATGCATGCTTCTTGGTTAATATTACATTTAGTTTGGCTGTTTTCTTCCTGTAACAAATACAAATGTTCTGATTCTGAAGTATTCCATTCCAACAAGAATCTGTTATTATGTAAATATACACTTTTATTTGATTTACTACTGTATCTACCTGCTACAACACTTAATTCCACAATGTTACCCTTGTTTTATTGTATACATTCTGCTAACTTACAGTACTTATTATCCCTGAATGTGTATATCTGTACATGTTTTTTTAAATACTATGTGCATACCTTTGTATCTAATAGTGTGTTATTATTTTTTTGTATTCTATCTATACATGTTGTAACAATGTAAATTGCCCATCTGTGGGACGGATAAAGGAATTATAATGTGTCTGATTTCATTTGGAGAGTAGAGGTATATCATGGCCTTTGTGAAAACCGAAAATGCATTTTTTTTTTAAAATGTAACGACTGATTGTTTATTTATCAAATGAAAACACTTCTAGTTATTTGAGGTTCAGGATTAAGGACTTAACACATATCACATCAGGCACATACATGTATTGAAACACATATATATCATCACTCTTTTTTAACTGTGCGGCACTTTGATTTATATCTCATTTCTGTTAGAATAAAGAATAATTATGTTATATGCAGTCTTACCTGTGTCCATTTAGTGAGGCGTGATGTAAGGGTGTGTATCCTGTGCTGTCTGTGCAGTTGACATTCAGGCCCTTCCACATGCTGCAGAGAAAACAAACACACATCAGAATTAAACCCTAAAAAGTGAGACTGCTTGATACTCTGTGTTGCTTATGAGACATTGACACACACATTTGGAACTTCTTCTTGGTCAGAAAACATGAGACGGACAGTTAAAAATGTTTATTTCATCAACTTGTTTGAGCTTCTATCTGCTGCAACTGCTCTGCTTCAGACCCAGGAAGTGTCAAACCACACCCAGCCAATTAGGAGTCACTTCATCGTGGAATGTGCCAAGTGTTGGATAGGTAGAGGGGTGGTGTAACAAAATTCTGTTCCTAAACACTATCTACCATTTTCTACTTTTATAACAGTTAGTTGATATTTGTGTAGTGGTAAATGTACATCTATTAAAAACATATGCATTTTTGCTGTGAGTTACAATGGATACGAATGGGTTTTGAGCTTTTTCAAGAAGATTAAGAATGGCAGGAATGCTTTCTCCATACCGAGTTATTTCCTTGTTTTCCATTTACTTGTTTTCCATTGCAAGTTTTGGGTTGTGTTTCAAGTAAAAAAAGTACAATTTTGACGTGTTTGGATCTGATGGCAAAAAGTATAATTTATAATACAGCCAGAAGTCTAATTTAATCATACTGGCAACAAAATGAGTGAGGTTGAATGTTGGATTTGAAAAAAGTCTGAGCATGCAAATAAAACAACCCAACACAGAATCTCATTAAAAAAAACAGCTATGCATATATTCACAACCACAATACTCACATATAGTAGCACACACTATTACACATATAGAGCCCAGGGTTTTCCCAGAGCTATAATTATATGACCTCTCTTTTTCACATGAACTCCTCCAAACGAGTCAGAGAAAAGTACTAATTAGTGAATTCCAGTGAGAGCAGATCAGGGAAACGCAGAATCAACTGGAGAGGCAACTGTATTAGCTTTGACCTTAAATTAAAGAAATAATTATCTGTGGCTGGAGAATATAGATTTTTTAAAATTATTTGCATTGCATTTTTCCATTTTAAGTGCTCTCCTAAATTGAAATGCACTGTACTCACACATTTTAATTGCTATACATGTGCTCACAGTGTGTATATATTCACAACACTCACCTCTAACTCTCCTTTTTAATATTACAAATGTTGTGTTTTCTGGTCATTTTTTCCTTTTGAGGGTCTGCTGCTGCAAACAGTTTAATTCAAATTCAAATTCAAAACCTTTATTTATCCAGGTAAAATCCCATTGAGATCAATGATCTCTTTTTCAAGGGAGACCTGCAGCAGTAGGTTCCACAAGAAGACATAAACAACAGAACAACAAAAGGACATCATACAGCAAAATGTACAGGGATTACAATTTACATATTTAACCACAAGTACAGGTACCAACAGCATCTGATTTTGTAGCATCCAACCGAGCTTTAAAAACATGTAGTGGTACTAGCTTGGTAATTTTCCATTCTTTTTGCAGACTGTTCCAAGTTAGTGGAGCTGCACATCTAAAAGCTTTCTTCCCTAAGACAGTCCTAGCACTTGGCACATTTAATAAAACCACAGCATGCGATCTCAGGCAATAAGTACTTTCAATTCGCAGAGAGATCAGGGAGCAGATATAAGATGGTAGTTTATCCAACATGGCTTTGTAAATGAAAAAGTACCTTAACATTGTGAAGGCAGCAGAACATTCACCGGGTTTGACCGACATCAACACACTGGTGAAGGTCAGTGCAAACACACAAAACTAAGCTTGAATTAAATGAGTTATTAAGAGGTGGCTGCACACATTGCGAACACAGTGTACTTCCATCAATAGAGCAAGTCTGCCGGAGATAAGGATGTCAACCATTTTATTTGTGCTGAATAAAATGCTTAAATAAAACAGACCTGAACCAATGAACCAAAAGCTGCATTTTAACACTAAAGTACAATTATACCTTACACCACAAGTGCATATGTAGAACTGAAACTGTCTGTTTAACCACAGATAAAGCTAAAAACACAACTCAATAAAGGAAATACATCTTTTACACATGTGTTAAACACACACAGAGGTCAGAGGGCAGGAGACCACAGACAGAGAGACACAGCACAGGTTTGTTTCTATTGGCTGATCGTTTGTTTTGGTGTGTGTGAGTTCATATTGATCACAGTGCTCTGCTGAGCCGTTTCAGCGCTGACCTACAGAACCACGAGTAGGATGTGTTATTAAAAAGAGCAGACTGCCAGAGGGTGAGAGGAGAGAGAGACAACCCACTGCAGGAGGCAAGAGAGTGATGGAGGCAGACACAGAGACAACATGGAGGGGATTTAACTCAACGGGCAACTGTTTTGGACAGATATAATTTGCTCAACATCCACCAAAAAAAAAAAAGTAAATTGTTGGTCGATGCATTTCAGTCTTTCACTGTCATTGCTGTCAAAATATTTCAGAATCATCTGATTGTGATTATTTGAGTTGACTGCCATCATTTTTGCAATATTGTTGTTTACATAATCAAAGGAATGTAAAGACAACCTAACACTGTCAAACATAAACACAAGGTTCAAACATCAGGACACAAAAAAACGATGGCAAAAAGAGCCTGACCGTGTAGATATTATTCAGTTTTATCTAGACCATTATTCTTGCTCGGGGAGGAAAGATAAGGACATGAGGTTGTGATAAGGGGTCCCTGGATTTAAAGAAGAGAGTCTCCCTGTGGGAGCAGCGGTGACAGCTCTGGAAGTTTGGCTGGAGTTGTCGCTTCAAGGTTTGCTAATTGGATAATTCACAATAAAATGTCTGAATGGAGTATGGGTCCTTTCAGAAATAAGTGGGCCCAATGACCGTTTAGGAACAAGCTTTTAAAAATATATCTGTGTGCAGCAGAGCGAGAGGAGAAACACTTTTTCAACAAGTTCTTGGAGATGTATTGACATTATGACATCAAGCAAAGCATCACATTAATCAAACCGAATAAGGGAATTGAATCGCAAGTCGCAGTTATTTAGCTAACAATTCAATTGTAAATGTGTTACTTTTATAAAAGGAATTAGATAAACCATGCATCACAACACAGAGGTTGTCAACATATGTATTCTTACAGTGTATAGCCTTACATAACAGTTGTCTTTTTATTACACATTTCCACCTTAAATCAGGCTCTAAACTGCCACATCTAGATTTCATCGAAATGTCCAATTTCATTCAGTGTTTCTAGTTCAATACCTCATCAATCACATACAACTCAACTACTTTGATGGAACCCCCCGTAAGATGCTTTCTATATCTGATAGCAGTTCACCTGAACACACACACACACACACACACACACACACACACACACACACACACACACACACACACACACACACACACACACACACACACACACACACACACACACACACACACACACACACCACACACACACACACACACACACACACACACACACACACACACACACACACACACACACACACACACACACACACACACACACACACACACACACACACACACACACACACACACACACACACACACACACACACACACGTGCTGTTACCTCCAAACACCCAATCTGTTCAGCAATTCATTCAAAAGGTGCTGCACAAAGAGTCTTTCACATTAGTAGCGCTCTACACAATCCACCCTCCCACACACCAACAAACACACCGTATTAATGCACAAACACAGCAGTCACAACACGAGCCACAACACCTTCGTCAATAAACCTGAACATACAAATATCTGTGGTCACTTTGTGAGAGTGTGTTTGCCTCACTGTGAGCTGAACAAGGTGTTGTGTTTGTCTTCCACTGTCACCTATGTGTTTCCAGTGACAACAAACACTTGCTTTACTTATTTCAAATAACAACCAGAGCCAGATTTATCAAGAATTTATCTCCAGTAACCATTATTTTATAATCTCACTGTAACACGGAATCAAATGACTGCGAGTCATTTTGGATGGGGTTACTAGTTAAGGACAGAAATTAAGATTATGCATCCTCCAGCACGTTTAAGCCATTTCCTTTGGGAGATTTACTGCTAAACTCCATCTACAGCAGCATGGGAAACTAATTTGAACCCAGTGGTTGTACCTGCAGCCCAGGATGCACAAAGTTAGCAATTAGCTAAAAGAGAGCATCAAGCTAGCAGCTAGCGACTAAGCTAATTTTCTCAGGAGTTGTTGAAAATGAGAAAAAAATAAACTGGATTTACAGTTTATGTTACTTAATCTAGCTGGCAGTGTAAACATGCATCTGTATGCTTTGTATACATGAATTGAAGGTGTTTTAAGTTTATTTACCATAGGTGTAATATAAAACCAAGCTCTTCGACAATAATAACAAATTGGATCATCATCTTCCTCTTAACAATCTTGATGAGGAGAAACTGCCCTTATAAAACATTCAAAGAGAGACTTAAATGAGTTGCTATAAAGTGTTGAGTTTATAGTTATATAAGTTTGTAGCCTATTGCTTGGTCATTTTCTTCTCAACTATAGTCCTGCCATATCCCCACAACAGTCCTTTGACATTCCTATAAAGACTTATTCTTCTCTGTTGTGGTGGATATTACATTTATATGCACTGCTGAACAGGGAAACTGCACAAAAAGTATATCTATTGAGTCCACTGCAGCTTTAAAATACCAACAGGTACAACGAGAGAGAGACTGGGAATATATAAACCACACTTTGGTGAATCACTTCCTACGGAGCTTTCTTATCACTGTTCCTTTCTGCTCTGCCATGTCCCACCTCTGAATCCCCTCACTCGGTTCAGTGCCATCACCCTTCTCCATTGTTTGCTTTGCTTTCAGTAACAGCGTTAAGCCAGCCAGCAGAGTTTAAATAGAATTAGTGGGCAATTTGAGATTAGATAATGGAGGAGAGGTGATGCAGCAGGAATGCCGACTCTTGCTGGATTAGCAAAAATATGCAGGCAATGTCCTACCTAATTAACCTCAGGAGCTTCAGCTAAGCAGGGTAGAAAAGCTGTATTTGTGTATGTATGTTCACATTTACA